GTTCATGCTCTGTCTCTGTCTCAAAAAGAAATAAACATTAAAAAGATTAAAAAAAATAAAGCAACCTTTAAAAAAATAAAATAATAAAATAAAAACAATACCTCAAAGCATATGTTAGCGCAGGCTGTACTGAAGGGAAATTATTGCTGGAATATCAAAGAAATTCCAGTTGTCTTGCCTTTTGAGGAAGAGTAAGCATATGAAAACAGGGGGAGGGTAAAACCCACCTTGTTAAGAACTATCCAAAGCTGATTCTTCAAATGAGCTTTCTGGAAATCTCGGTCTATCAGGCACCAAGACATCTGGTTTTTTCTGAAACCAAAACTGAATCCCCGCCCAGCTCGGAGGCTTCACTACGTAAGTGAAAGTAGGTAGGGCTTCTATTTGTGCGAATTGTCTTCCCCTTTCCCCACTCCACTTTCTTTTTCATCTATGTGGAATTTCTGGCGTTTTAAACACGCTAAACTACTTCAGCCTGTGACAACATCTTGCCTCCCGGAAACTGACGAAGACCCGGTTTACGTGGCCCAGAAAGCCCAAAGACAGGCAAAGAAACCAGCCGGCGACGGGGCCACGCTACTCCGAGCCAACTCACTTCCGGGGGGCGGGCCAGGCACTCTGGGTTCGTCCCGCCTCTAGGCGGAAGTGCTTGGCTACGGCTACGCCGTCGTCCCGCCTATTGGCCTTTGCCCCGTTGAAGGTGGGACTTCCTGTCTCGTGTATCCAAGGTCTTCATAAGTCAGTGCCGGCCCTGGGGAGGAGGGTGTCAAGAATGTGGTGGCGAGCCTGGCAGCAAATTAGCTGGGCATGGTAGAAGGGTACTCACCTATTTATTACTGCAGTTATCCTTACTGTCCTCCCACGGCGTCTCCCAGAGGCCTTGGAGCCCTGAGAACCCAAGCGTGTGCCCGCAGGTTCCGTGAGGGCCATGGAGGTGCGGCCGCCAGCGCCACAGAGCTACTTCTGCCGGGCGCTGTGTCCTTTCCCTCGGGTTTTTGCTGCGGGAGCTGTGGCTGCCGATTCGGAGAACCAGAAGCTGTCTTCCTACGTCCCAGAGCCTGATTACCTGGAATCCGGATGGGACCGCCTCCGGGACCTGTTTGTCAAAGAGTAAAAGTGCCTAGGGTCTGTGGGGAGGGGACTGCGAAGAGCTGTCCTGCAACCTGGGTCATCCTGGGGTGAAGGACCCCTGAGTGATGTGGTTTGTTTTTGAATAAGATTTGGTGTTGTAATGTTTGTATCCCAAGTTTGTGTCCTCACATTGCCATTTAGTAGTTCTGTTGATTGACAGGACAGTTTACAAATGGTAGGGGTGAAACTCATTATAAGTCAGAGCATTTTTAGAGAATATAGTCTTAGTGTAACCCCCAATTTTACAAATTAGAAGAATTGGACCGAGCTAATTAGTGTCAGAATTGACCCTGGAATCCACATCAGCGAGATTACGCTCCAGTATTTTTTTTCGCATTTCACTTTATTCCAAACTTTGGTATTTCATGACCATAGCTCCCCCTTCTCTCCAAAAAAATGGAGATTGGAGAAACGGCAGAGAGAGCTGTAAAATGTTTATTCTGTCAGATAATGAATATATAAAAAATAATAGCAAGTATTGTCTCATTTTTATAAAAGAAACGATATTAGCTAGAGCAACAAATAAGGTTATTTCAGAATACAAAATTAACTTCAAACTGAATTCACTTTAATGGAAAACTCATTTCATTTATTCATTTATTTCATCATTTATCAATTATTGGTGGAAAAATGGCCCTTTCATGAAATACTTTACAATACTACACTGTTACCAGGTGGTTAAATTAACTTTGAAGCTTTATTATGTTGCTGAGATTGTTGGGACAAGGAGTTGGCAGAATCGTGTTTAATTGCTTTATTGAAATATCATCTTTATTTTAAAGATAATGAGGCAGCCTTTCTCATTGGTCCTTCCAATCAATCCTTCCAGTCAATATTTACTTGAGATACTTGTGAAAGATCCTATATAGTATATAACAGAAGGGTGTTATTTTGATCAGCTTTGGAAACCACAGAATGTTGGAGCTGAAAGAAACTTGAAGGTAATCTAGGTTAACTTCTATGTTCCCCTCCATCATAGATGAGGAAACTAAAGTTCATAGATTGTGATCTGGCTGCAGGTCACTTAACAGTGGGTGACAGAACCAGAACCACAACCCTGTTGTCACTTGTAGTTTAGGTCTTTTCCACCACTGTGCTATTTCTTCACCATTTATTAGCTGTTTGGGCCAACCATAGGACTTCTTAGAGCCAAATAAATAAAATGGAGATAAATATCACCTATGGCATGGAATTTTTCAGAGAATGAAAAGGAGGCAAAGCATATTCATCTGGCTTGTTAAATTTTAAGCTTTTACATTTTCTTTTCTGAGTTCTGTCATAGGCCAATTTTTAGGTAAATGTTTTTGATCTTATTCACTATACAAGATAAGTACAGGGTTCAAATTATAGCAGTTTTTTCCTATTGGCCTAAGTAAGTATAAGAATTACAGTTTTCTGAGAAATTTTATTTAGATTTCTCTTGTAGATGCAGGAGCTGTAAAGACTCACTGATTCTGATTTCAGAGATGTGGTTATTGATAATTAGAATTAGATAAACACCTTATAGTCTCCAAAGAAAGTGATTTAGTAATGTAAATAACATTTAGTATTTAGAGGGCCATTTATAGTAACATAATACTTAAAAACTTAGCTATTCATTAGAGCTTCTAGAAACATCTTCAAAGCTTTATTATCAATTCTAATTTCTTCTTTTGAGAGTAACAAATTGAATTAAACAGTGGTTTTTCCTTATGTTAGGTTGGTCTGTGGTGTCCATTGCACAGTGAGATTTCTCATTTGTTGCTTTTTATCATACAGGCCCAATCTGAGCATGGCATAAAAGTGAATTCAGAAAGACAGGTTTTGATTTTTTTTTTTAATCTAGGATTTTGTTCTTGAATACATTGTCCTAAAATCCATAAGTTTGTGTGTCATTTCCAAAAGTTAGCTTAAAATTCAAAAAGGGAAATCTTGATCCTTGCATCCAGCTTTTACAGATTCTTCCTGATTCCAGAGATGTAGTGGACTTGTAATAGTCATCAAATAAAACCACCTTCGAAAAAAACATTATTGGAGTATAATGTGCATCTATTTACACATAAATATATTGATCAACAAATTTTCACAAGCTAAACATAGCTGTGTAACCAACACCGAGAAACTGTTAGCAGCATTTCAGAAGCTCCCCTTTGTGCCCCTTCTAGTCACTATCTTCGTAAGGGTAATCAACCAATAGCTTGATTTCTAACAGCATAGGTTAATTTTGGCTGAAATTTGAGCTACTTGTGATATAACTGTGGTATTTAATTCATCAGGAGATTTTATTAATCCGGAGATTCTGCCCATGATGAAAAATGTGGTAGTGTTAGTATTGGGGTCATTTTGAATGTACTGTCTTTTGGAGAGCAGTATCCATAAACTAATCCCAAACAACATTGTCTTTTTGATGTCTTAGTGAACAGCAGAGAACTTCAAAGGAACTTGAGAATATTTATAAGGCGGCTATTTCAGCAGGCATCATTGGCTGGGCATATGGAGGAATACCAGCTTTTATCCATGCTAAACAGCACTATGTTGAGCAGAGCCAAGCAGAAGTTTATCATAGCCGGTTTGATGCTGTGGTAAGTACTGATACTCTAAAAGTATTTGAGGGCATATTAGTTTAGTAATTCACTTTACACTTAGCTATTCAGTTAGGTGGTAGGGTTGGAAGGGTTAAGATGTCAGAGTAAAGAAACAAAACCTGCACTTAAGAACAGTATACATATTAATGCTAAAGAGCATACACATGGTTTGTCAGACTACTTTTCTTATCTTCAGAGGGATTACTACCATGGCTCTACTTTCTGAAATATATTTCTATCACTTCTCAGTCTTTTGGCTAAGATCAAGTATAGTATCTGAAATATATTTCTAATCCCTAGCTAAATCATCAAGGCTTAGCTGTAGCATATTAACCCCATTCACAGGGTCTCCTTGGAGGACACTAAAACAATAATTAGCATTTATAACTCTACAGTTTATAGAGTGCTAACTCTTTTGTTAGATCTGTACATCAACTCTGTTGTATAAGTGAGGAAGTTACAGCTCAGAGAGTTAGTTGTTTGGGTTTTGTTTTGTTTTTTTAAATTCTGTCAGCCTTAAAAGTTGTAAAAGTAGTACAAAGAATTCCTATATACCTATCACCCAAATTCTCCAAATGTTAACTTTTTATCACATTTACTATAGCATTCTCTCTCTGTATAATGCATATTATTATTTTTTGTGACTGCTAAAGAGTAAGTTATAGTCATGATAAATACTTCACCATGTATTTCCCTGAAAACAAGGACATTCTTTTATATAACCACTATATAATTATCCAGATCAGGAAATTATCACTGATATAGTACTGTTGTCTTATTTTCAGACTTTATGTAAATTTTGCTAGTCGTCTCTCCAATATTATTTATTTATTTAAGTTTATTCATTTATTTTGACAGAGAGTGTTCAGAGGGAGCTGAAGTGGGGGAGGAGCAGAGAGAGAGGGAGAAAGAGAGAATCCCAGTCAGGTTCTGTGCCAGGCTCCACGCTGTCAGTGCAGAGCCCAGTGTAGGGCTCAGTCTCATGAAGCATGAGATCATGACCAGAGCCAAAACCAAGAGTCAGACACTCAACCGACTGAGCCACCCAGGCACCCCTATTTTAAAAGTAAATAAAAATAATATTTTTTCCAGGTCCAGCATCTAATACTGGATCAGATGTTAAATTTGCCTTTCATGCCTCTTTAGTCTCTCTTTTTTTTTTTTTTTTTTAAATTTTTTTTTTCAACGTTTATTTATTTTTGGGACAGAGAATAAGAGCATGAGGGGAGGCAGGGAGGCAGAGAGGAATGAAACAGGCCTGGGAGGCTCCAGGCTCCAGACATCAGAGTCGACGCTGCCCAGAGCCTGGCCGGGGCTCGAACTCACAGACGGCGAGATCGTGACCTGGCTGAAGTCGGACTTAACCAACTGCTAAGCCACCAGAAAAAAGCCCTCTCTTTTTTTTAATTTTTCAATATTTATTTTAAGGACAGAGTAGGAAAAGTATGGAAGGGCAGAAGAAGTTGACACGTTTAAAGCAGGCTCCAAGCTCGACCAGGCTGTCAATTTTAAGGCCGTGAGATCACAGAACTCAGACCTGAACTGTGGTCATGACCTGGGCAGAGTCGGGCATTTCAACCTTACTGAGCCGCACCAGGGCCCCTTTAGTCTCTTTTAATATAGAACAGTTTCTCTTTCTTTAACTTTCTTGATTGTGACATTTTTGAAGATTGGGGCTATTTATTTACTATTTTATTTATTTTATTTTTTATTTTTTTATTTTTTACATTAAAAATTTACATCCAAATTAGTTAGCATATGGTGCAATAATGATTTCAGGAGTAGATTCCTTAGTGCCCCTTACCCATTTAATTTGTATCAGCCTCCACAACCCCTCCAGTAACCCTCAGTTTGTTCCGCATATTTATAAGTCTCTTCTGTTTTGTCCCCCCCCCTCAGTTTTTATATTGTTTTTGTTTCCTTCTCATATGTTCATCTGTTTTTGTCTCTAAAGTCCTTAAAGTGTATATGAATGAAGTCATATGATATTTGTCTTTCTCCGACTAATTTGGACAATTAATGCCCTCCAGTTCTAAATATCCATTTGAAGGTAAATGGCCAAGATTTCATTCTTTTTGATTCTGGTGACCTCCTGGGCAATACCATTGTATGTATGTATATGTATATAATGATAATAATGAGCATGTATAGAGCAGATACATATCGTGTATATGTATATATAATAATAGTTAATATGTAAAAGCATCGTTAATATGTATATATACATATAATATCATATATGTACATATATAAGGACATATAATGAGTGTATATATATTATATATATACATATATTATAAGCACATCTTCTTTATATATTCATCCATCTATGGACATATAGTCTCTTTCCATACTTTGGCTATTATTGATAGTGCTGCTAGAAACATGGGGGTGCATGTGTCTCTTCGAAACAGCACACCTGTATCCCTTGGATAAATGCCTAGTAGTGCAATTGCTGGGTCGTAGGGTAGTTCTATTTTTAGTTTTTTGAGGAACCTCCATACTATTTTCCAGAGTGGCTGCACCAGCTTGCATTCCCATGTGGGCTATTTATTTTGTAGAATGTTCTTCAATTTGGATTTGTTTAATGTTTTCTCATGATTAGATTCCAGCTATGTGTTTTAGCAGGAATACCCTAGATTGGGGTATTAGTACTCCTTACTTCTTACTTAGATGTACTTAATGTACTTCTTACTTAGTACATTATATCAGGAATACATGATATCTATTGTCCCTTTACTGATGATGTTTACTTTGGCACTTGGTTAAGATGGTCTCTGCCAGGCTTATCCACTGTAAAATTACTATTTTTCTCCCTTTGTAATTTTTTTATTTTTTATTAAAAAATTTTTTTTGAAAGAGCACACGTGCAAGCAGGGGAAGGACAGAGGGAAAGGGAGAGAGAATCTCAAGCAGGCTCCACACCCAGTGCAAGCCCAGGTGGGACTTGATGTCAGGACTGAGATTATGACCTGAGCTGAAATCAAGATAATTAGTAAATGTAATTAGTGAATATCTTATGGATACTTATGAGATACTTTGAGACTATGTAAATATCCTATTTTTCATCAAATTTCCATGCTTTAGTTTTAGTATTCAATGATGACTCTTACCTGAAAGAGTTAATACTGTGGTGGTTGCGAAATGGTTATTTTCTAATCCCATCTTTCCTACATTTATTGCTTCATATTCAGCTTTAAGGAAGAGCTTTCCCTTCTCCTGTATTTGTCTTTTTATAATTTATTTCTATCAATGTGGACTCGTGGATTCTTGTTTTACTCTGTAGTTTATAATCCATTCTTATCATTGTTTATCTTGATGCTGAAATTGGCCTAGATTTGGACAGTTGGAGCCCTTTAAACTAGCTCCTTTGTTCTTTTTATACGTCCCCATCGTTCTTTGAGCATATCTTTATTTTTTGGCATAGCAAGATGTTCCTGGCTCATCTTTTACTTTTCCAGTACCAGCCCCAGAGTTAGTCATCACCAAGGAGTTCTAGTTTCTTTTAGTGGAAAAATTATATATAAAACTAAGATTTGAGGGGCACCTGGGTGGCTGAGTCGGTTAAGCGTCCGACTTCAGCTCAGGTCATGACCTCACAGTTCATGAGTTCAAGCCCTGCATCGGGCTCTGTGCTGACAGCTCAGAGCCTGGAGCCTACTTCGGGTTCTGTGTGTATCTCTCTCCCTGTCTCTCCTCCGCTTGCACTCTGTCTCTCAAAAATGAAATAAAAACATTAAAAAAACAAAGATTTGATGCTACATATGCTCACTTACAGGGATATCATGGCTTCTATAAGCCCTAGGAAATGTGTGTGCTCATATATACTTATGTACACATATTCATACACACATCTGTATCTATTTATTTATCTGCCTATTTGTTAAAAGCCACGAGTCCATACTGATACTCTTCAGAGAGGTTTTGACTTGCCCAGTATCTTGTAGTAGTTAAGGATCCACTTAGGGATTCTCTCAAAATCTAGACTATATCCTCAGGATATTGTACCAGACTTGCTCCATGGTGATGTGGAGACAGACAACCTGTCTTCCAATTCTGACTTACTCCTTCTTGGCTGAGTGATCTTGGTTAGAAACTTACTCTCTGTGCTTTAGTTAAATCTGAAACACCTGCCTAAAAGAAAAGTTGTAAAGATTAAATGAGGTAATATGTTAACACAACTTTTACATAGAACGTGGGCAGTAAATATCAGTTCTCTTTTCTTTGCTCTTTTCTCTATATCTGTATTACTATCATCCTTACCCTTTTATTTACCATTTCTTTGGTTCTTTTTTATTTTATGGTTTCTTTTTTCCAAGATTTCTTGGATATAAAAAGCATGTCTAACACTGACTTTATATTTGCCATGGCATTTGCCACATAGATTCTCTGTTTATGCCTCATTGATAGATTGCTTGGTTGACACTGGCAATTCTTAGTTCCTTTTCTATCTCCCGATAGAATAGGATGCACATGGGACTTTTGCTTAAGTTTCAGTAAACGGTATTTCTAGAGATCTTAATAATGTTTCTGTTTAGGTGTCCCTGCCTAATCCATAGCCATCCTTCTACCACAGTTTTAGAATAAAGAAGGTATTAAGGGGTCTTGGAACCTCACAGCCTTTTCATTAACTTTAGCAATCTGCACATCGTGCTGCCACACGAGGCTTCATCCGGTATGGCTGGCGCTGGAGTTGGAGAACTACAGTGTTTGTGACTATATTCAAGTAAGTTCTCTCTGAGTTGTGACAAAAGGTCTTAGTATTATTTTGGGAGCACATCTTTTGAGCAAGTGAGATTTTTAAAAACTAAACACCCACATGAAAGTGATTCATAATACCTTTTTCCCCAAGAACTTTTATCTATGTAAAAGATTGGTCCAGATATAGGTTTGCATCCATGGATGGAGGTCTTCCACCTATTATCAAAGTAGAGACAAGGTTTCTAAGTAAGAGAAATTCTTTGGTTCATTCTTCAACAGAAGGTCCACCTAGAAAACCTAGGGAATATTGGTAGTCGGGAACACATTGATGGGACCTAGACTAAGACCAGGAATTGACTTAGTAGGCGTTTCTAATACCTATCACTTTAGTGAAAATTGTGGTCGAGAAAGTAAGGGGGATATGCTTTAAATTTTATGTTTTCTTTCTTCCCCCTTCTTCCCAGCACAGTGAATACTGGGCTAAATGTGTACCGAAATAAAAATGCCCTAAGCCATTTTGTCATTGCAGGAGGTAAGACATTTTTGTTCTTGTTTATGTTTTTCAGTCTTCTCAAATATGGTTTGGGAAATATTTAAGGACTTATAAATCAGAACTACTGAATTCTTTGGTTGACTTCTCATCACATCTCATTCAACATTCATGCAAAATGTATGGAGAGCATTATGCTTGGCCCTTGGTATACTTGGTGAACAAAACAGAAAAGGTCTTTGCTTTCATGGAGTTTTATAGTCTAATGTGGTTGGGGGAGAAAAAGGCTGCTGTGATAGAAAATAGCAAACAGGTGAAGCAATGGGATGATCAGGGTGAGTAGAGAAGGCCTTTATGGGGAGGTGACATTTAAGCTGATACCTGAAAAGTGTGAAGAAGAGTAGCTTATGCAGAAGGAACATTGAGGGTGAAGTCTCCAAGGCAAGAAAGTTCCTCAAAAGCAGGATAATAAGGCTGGAACATAGTAAGGGGAAGAGTGGCTTGAGATAAGTTTGGTGAAATTACATAGAAAGGGACCAGATTTTTCATACTAAGTTTGGATTTTATTTTAAAGCTTTATGCCTCTGGTAAATGTGACCTCTTTAAAATGAACATTAAAAAATAAGTATTGAAGTATTATTTCCAGAAATGTAAATGTGAAGTGCCACATATACTCAGACACTCACTACCTCATGTAATTCTCTCACATGCAAAAAGGTACATATAATTCATAAAACATTTAAAAATTTTTTTAATTTGGAAATAATTTCAAGCTTACAAAAAGTTTTAAAAATAAAAGTAATACAAGGAACACCATATAACCTTTATATACAGAGATTCAGTTGTTTACATTTTAGCCCATTTGCTTCTTGACTTGTTCTCTCTTCTGAGTGCATGCTCTCTTTCTCTGTGTATATGTATATATACACACAGGCAAACACATGTACACATAATTTGAACTTAACAATTTAATGGAAACATTTTAAAATATAAAACTAGAAATAGGCATTAATAGCACTGGAGCAGCTGGAACTTGCCCTTTTTTAACTTGCCACCATTTTTCCATGAGTATTCTGTAGGCTCAAATGCCTATATCCAAACCAAACTCTGTTTTCCTCCCCCAACTTCCATACTTGCTCCTGTTGTTAGGTTCTTTATAATTTACCATGTTAAACAAATAAACAAAAAACCTGGAAACCAGATAATGATATGGTTCTGCCTTTTATCCCCCTCTTTGCAAAGTTCTAGTCCTTTAATTAGATTCCTTTAATATGTAGGGACTCTCACCTCCTCTTTCTTCCCACTGCTGCTATCTGGTCTTCCCTGTTTCTAGTCTTGGTTTCCTCCACTTCCACTGTTACCTTAGTTACTTTTTGGAAATATGAATGTGAGTATAACACTTTTCTGCTTGAGCTTCTTTCATAGTTTCCCATCATTGTAATGTTGATTCTTGATCTGGTCCTCACGTACCACTCTTGCTCCACCCTATGACTCTACTCTTGATTTCCCAAACCTATCATAATCTTGCTTTACATGTATTGGTCCCTTTTCTTGAGCATGCCTTCCCACTCCTGCAAATAATTTTATTCAGCTTTTATTGAACCTGTCTTTCAAGGTTCAGCTTATCTGTCAGCTTTAGTTTCCTAGTCCCTATTTTCTTATTTTTGGGTCTTCAGGTGTCTTTCCCCTGTATTCCCATAATTAACTATAAATATTTTAATCAAAGCACTTACAACTCTATGTTGTACCTGTTAACTTGTTTTGCTTCTCCACTAGATGACTTACTTGATATCAGAGAAAGTCTTCGCCTTTTATATCACAACTATTTGACACATAGTAGAGTAGAATAAATGTTCCTTGAATGTAAATTGAGTGTAAAAATTAGTAAAAAAATAAACATGATACAAGATAAGTTTTTATCTCAAACCAGCAACCACCATTGAATTTAATGGTATAACACTGAAGTAATTTCCCCTGAAGTCAAAATCACATCAAGAATGTCTCCCCTTGTTATTATATGGCATTCATCTGGACATTTATAAATGTATATGTGACATCTGGAATGACTGGGTGAGGAGCTTGGCAAATCCTTTCACAAAAAGCAACAATAGAATTGGACATAATTATCAAAAACAACCATTTAAAGATGCTGGAAATTGACCACAGGCACACAACAAATCAGTAAGCATTTATCCAAGAATTTCTACTGAGTTTCAGTAAGAAAATTGGGAGTCTGTGGTGTTTCAGCCTAGGGCTCCTCCTGCCCCCCTAGCCCACAGCTCTGTGATGCAGAAGTTTCATAAGGACAGGCTGGAGGACTGGCTTTATTTGGAGCAGAAAACAGAAAATTCCAAGCCAAGGGGTGTTGCTGAAAACAATTGCAACAGGGAAGGATAATATCACACAGCTAATCTGAGGTTTTGATACTGTTTGGGGTAAGGAATAGACTGGCAAATGAGGCAGAATCTTAACAGGAATATCTAGGGAACAAGACAGCCACAGGGGGTTTTAATAAGATTCTATGTATCCCTAGAATTCTGGAAAGTTGCACACATGTGTAAGTATGTATTCATTGCACACTGTGGAGAGACTGGCAAGGCCCCTACTTATCTTTGGTTAGTTGTGAGGGTTAATTGTGAACACCAAAAGAAAAAGCCAGAAGAGATTTTAAACTGTCTAAACTTTGAATGCATTCTTCAACCACAGATACGTTGGTAAAGGATAGGAGCGTTACTAGCTTGGGATGCTTAAGCATAATTTCTGACAAATCATTGGCTGACTACTTAAGCCAGTGTGATGCCTAGGAAACCACGCATACAAATAAAAACTGAGCAACAACATTAGTGGCTGTACTCTGCAGAAAAAAGACTCCACAGAACTAGTCCGGGCAAGTCACTACATAGACAAAGAATTACAGTCATCCCCCCTGTGTGGGGGGTGTTAACTCCAGAGTTGCTATAATTTATTACCTAAAATGTCCAGTTTTCAACAACAAAAAAATCATATGACATGTAAAACCAGGGGATTAAAAAAGCACTCACTGGGAATGTCTCTGACTGGACCCATCCATTGAACATAGAAGACAAGGCTTCAAACCATTTTAAAGAAATATAAAAGTATGATGATAGTGACTTACCAAATAGAGAATATCAATAAAGACAGAAATTATAAAAAAAAAAAATCAAATGAAAAGTTGAAAGTTGATACAACAATAGAATTTAAAATTTCACTGGAGAGGAGGAGCTCAACACCAGTCTTGAGATAGCAAAAGAGAATTCGTGAATTTGAAGAGGGATCAATATAGATGATTTTTCGTGAAGAACAGAATTTTTAAAATGAAGAGAAATGAACTGAGCCTGAGCAACCTATAGGACACCATCAAAAATACCAATAGATGTGTGAAGGGAATGTTAGGTAGAAAAGAGAGAAAGGGTTAGAAAAAAGTATTTTAAGAAATAATGGTCCTTAACTTCCCAAATTTGATGAAAAACATTAATCCACACATCCAAAAGGTTCAACAAACTCCAAGAAGAACAAACATGAGGAGATTCACACCTAAGCACATAATAGTTACACTGTTGAAAGAAAAATCTTAAAAGCAGCAAGAAAAAAATAACTCCCATGAGGAACACCAAAGAGGATTAACAGCTTATTGCTCATCAGAATGATGGAAACCAGAAGGCAGTAGAATGCATTCAAAGGCCTGAAAAGCATAAGTTGTCAACCAGGAATTCTGTTTCTAACAAACCACTCTTCAAAATTGAAGGCAAAAATAAAGACATTGGCAGATAAACAAACAAAGAAAAATTGTTACTAGCAGATCTGCCTTAACAAAAATACTATAGGAAATTCTTCACGCTAAAAGGATGTAATAAACCAGATGGTAACTTGAATCTATGAGAAGTATTAAAGAGCATTGATAAAGATAATTATATAAGTTATTATTAAAGGCTGTATAAATATTTTTTCTCATAACTAATCTAAAAGACAATTATGTAAAATAATAACAAAATTGCAGTGTTAGACATACAGCATATTTAAAGTTGTATATGGCATTAATAGCACAAATGAGAGGGAAGGAATGGAGGTATGTTGGAGCAAGGAGATGACACCAAATAGTAACTTGACAGGAAGAAATGAAAAGTACTAGAAATGGTTAATATGTAAGTTAATATAAAACACTCTATAAACCTATTGTTTTCCTTTCTTTTAACTGTTTTTCCCTAATTTAAAAATAGTATTTGAAGGACTCCTGGGTGGCTCAGTCGGTTGGGCGTCTGACTTCAGTCATGTCATGATCTCACAGTTTGTGAGTTCGAGCCCCACGTCAGGCTCTGTGCTGACAGCTCAGGGCCTGGAGCCTGCTTCAGATTCTGTGCCTCCCTCTCTCTCTGCCCCTCCCCCACTCATGCTCTGTTTCTCCTTCAAAAATAAATAAACATTAAAAAATTTAAAAAAACAAAACTAGTATTTGAGGGAGTGCCTGGGTGTTTCAGTCAGTTAAGTATCCGACTGTGGCTCAGGTCATGATCTCCCGGTTTGTGAGTTAGAGCTCCACATCAGGCTTTCTGCCGTCAGCAGGGAGCCCATTTCATATCCTCTGTCACTCCCTCTGTCCTTCCCTCACTTGCATGTGCTCACATGCTTGCATGCTCTTTCTTTCAAAAATAAACTTTTTTTTTTTTTAATTAAAAAAAATAACAGTATCCAACTAAGTGGCTAAGTTGGTTAAGCAGCTGACTCTTGATCTTGGCTCAGGTCATGATCTCACGGTTTGTGAGTTGAAGCCCCACATCTGGCTTTGTGCTGACAGTGCAGAGCCTGCCTGGGATTCTCTCTCTCCCTCTTTCTGCCTCTCCCTTGCTCGTGCACACACACTCTTTCTCATCAATCAATCAATAAACTTTTTAAAAAATTCTAGAGACAAAGGACATTTTATAATTTTTTTTTTATGTTTATTTTTGAGAGAGAAAGTGAACAGTGGACGGGCAGAGAGAGAAGGGGACAGAACGTCCAAAGTGGGCTCTGCACTGTCAATGGAG